GAGCTCTTTCCTTGGCCTTTGGTTTGTGCGTATGGCTCAAATGAGGGGGGAGGTATCTATCCTCAATCAAACACCAAGTTGAGGTGTTGATAGGACCTTAGGGGGTAGTGTTTGTCTCATGCAATCCCCTCACTCAATAAGTCCGCCCCTCCCATGTTTGGATGTTTCATTTACATTATTTGGATTCTTCAAGGCTTGTAGGAAAAATCCCAAATGAGTATAAGAAGTCCCTCTCAATTATTCCTGCTATTTCTGGCAGGTTGGGCCAAAATAACACTCGGTTGTCCAAATATTTTTATCAACTTTAGTTGGCGCTTTATTGGGCTTCTATAATTACCACGATAATCCGACTAAATATTTGGTAGCCTATTCTCATTATTAGGGACCCGATAAATAATTTAATTAATCACGCATTAATTATATATACCAATTCCGTTACACGATTTTATTCGCTAGGAAATTCAAATATATGTCGATTTCAAATTCAAGTACATCCGGGTGCGGTGTCACATACATCATGACCAACTCCTTCATCAATCCCAAATCCATAAATAAAATTACTCGCAACTCATAATTGAATTAACAATAGAATTGAGAAAGAAAGAATTAATTGTCATTAATTAAAAAGTTGGAACTTACATTGAATTCCACAATCTTGAAGAAAACAAGGCTGAAAAAGCTCTCAAAAGTCGAAATGGGGTTTATCTCTCTATGTTCTGGTACAAAAAATAGGCAAACCAGAGCTCTATTTATAGAAAAATCCGAAAATCAGCCAAAACTGTACCGCACGGTCGCCCGCACGACACCATGTGGTCGCGCGAAAAATTCCGATGCCTTCGTAAGTTGCGCCGTGCGGGCACCTGAACGGTCCGACCATACGGGCACACCTAGGCCTCGTTTCTGGACCGCGGGGTGTGTGGTTCAGACTTTTTGACTTACAGGTCTCAGAATCACCCACGAGGCGGTTCTTATCCGCGGGGTGCGCGGATGTTTCTTGAACCATATTCTTGTCCTTTTTGTCCCATTTTCTCCCGATCGATCCTATCTCCAATCTTTGACCTTTGTAGTTTCTATCTGACGTGCACTTTGTCGTGAGTGCACTCAAAATAAATTCAATACTAACACTTATACGTAGTATAGCGTAGTAAGGTTCGTATCCACAGGGAAAGGAATAACTCTTCTTTTTATGTATCTAGTAAATAAAAGGGGGGGTTTTGATCGAGTGATTTGATTAAAATTAAACACGAAGATGAACGAGTTATGTGGTTTAATTCAAAGATAAAAGGGACTTGGCATTGCTACTTTACACTTGTTGATATATTTTAGTCGATCATTGTTATGTCTATAACTTATTTCCTCTCGAATACTCAATCGAGGATAGTTATTAACAACGACCGTTCATTAATAACCCTTACTATTAGTCAAGTATAGAACAACGCCATATACCGACTTGATAGTAGCATTTAATCTTTTAACTCCTTGATGAAATCAATTGAGATTGATAACCTCAACACAACGGTTTCGGTTTAACCAACAGAGTTAATCCCTCTTAAGTTTATTAACCACGACCGTGCATTAATAAACCAAAGTTACTTACTTGTGAAATTATCAACGATTAACCATCGGTTCGTTGATCGTTTCTAGTAATAATTAATATATGAAACAAAACTAATTGATCCTTTAAGTAATGTTCAAAATATTAATATGAAATATGAATAGGAATTAACTAATATTCAAGGAAGAATATTAAAGGGAATGAATCCTACTATAGTTAAATATCAAGATGTTAACTAATTGTCATCTTAGCAACACTCCCCGATATTAACATAGAGGAAGGAATAGCTATTACTAAGACCAATGTCAAGATGTTAACTAATTGTCATCTTAGTAACACTCCCCAACATTGATATAGAAATAGTATTTAAAGGAAGAATTAATATTCAAGGAAAGAAGTTAAGAAAATAACTCACAACTTTAATAATCAACAAGCTTCAAGAGCAATACCAAGAAATGGAAGTTTAGCTCCTCATTTGGAGACTAAACATGCTAAAAGAAATATAAAGAAATGCTATTCTAAACTGAGCTTAAGAGTATAAAGGAATTGGTTTCTAAAAGTGAAGGAAAGGAGGTGTATTTATAGGCTTTTTGAGGTGCAGGATCGAGTACTCGATCGAGTATGTATACATACTCGATCGAGTATGTATAGAAATCAGAATTTGGTCAATACTCGATCAATACTCGAGTAGATTTTATATGCATACCCGATCGAGTATATAAGCATACCCGATCGGGTATAGACACTCGAACGTGGGAAAATCTTCTCCTGCATGTTCCTTTGTTTTCGGATCCGATCCGATTTGAAATGTCAACCAGATACCCGATCGAGTATATGTATATACTCGATCGAGTATAGACCAAAATCAGGATTTTTCCTTCTTTTTGTCTTGTACTCTTGCACCTTCCTTCACCATTGATCATTTGATTGATCTTGGACCTGTTTAAGCTCAGAATAAACCTAATCTAAACAAATTACAAGAATTTAACAAACTAAACTATTACACCGAAAGTGTGTAATTTCCGAAATATTAAACAATCAAAACTAACTAAAAGCGTAAATAAACATACGGAAATTACAAACGTATCACTATCCTCGAATCATACCTCTAAATCATCTCATGGACCTCCGATGCCTATTGCTATCTCTCGAATGCATCCCGAATCTTCTCAACTTAAGCTTAAACGCCAATGTCGGGTCTGAATTCCTACTTTTCTCAACAAATGCCAAACAAACCCGGTAAACCGTGACTTGAGCTAAATAAACGCTTTGTGACTCAAATAAAGAGAAAAGGTTCAAATAAGGCCCTCTACTATTATGAAATAGTCACATAATGCCATGTACTCAATAAAGTGTCATATAAGTACCTCTACTTGTAAAAAACAATCAAATGAGTCACAACGACCTATTTACAACCTCCTAATCCCGGTTGTAGCTTACATGTAGATTTTTTTTACTTGTATTTCAACCGATCTTAGTTAAATATTCGACGTATGCCATATAATCTATTCTAAAAAGATGGTCAGAAGTACGCTAAAACCGGGATTAAGAGGTGTTAAATAGGTCATTAGGACTCATTTGATTGCTTTTTAAAAGTAGAGGTACTTATATGACACTTTATTGAATACATGGCCTTATGTGACTATTTCATAATAGTAGAAGCCCTTATTTGACCCTTTTCTCCTCAAATAAATAAGGAAAAGTGACAAAACTCAATCCCAACACGCATCTAGCTAATGCGTTCCGAAATATGGACTTATCAGCACCCCCAACCCCGTAAGAAAAGACAAAATGCCCCTCGATCAGGAATAGGTTGAAGGGAAACAGAGTTGTTAATGGAATGACGTTTTTGTCTTTTCATGCAGGGTTAGGGCACAAAAACAAAGAATTTTGAAAAAAAATGGTGCAAAGTCCAATTTTGATAATGAAATGAAGTGAAAACTCAAATTACCCCTTTAAATTATAAAATCAAACATTTTACTCAAGTTAATCATAATGGCTAATCAAAATAGCTAACATAATCCACTAAAATCAATCAGTTGATACTACGTATAATCGAACATTCGAACACCACTATACATTTCAGGGGACTTAGGATATTTTCTTTTGGACTGAAATTTGCTGGTGTGGTCTGGTCTGATCTGGTCTTGTCTGGTTTGGTCTGAACTGGTCTGGTAAATGTCTGGTCTCTACGTATTTTATAACTACGAAAGTCAAGTCTGGTTTGGTCTGGTCTGATCTGGGACTAAAATAGTCCAAAAAAAACGGTCTTGTTTGGCAAATGGCTTATCAGCCATTTTTTGGCTTCTTTGACCACAATTAATTACTTTGACCTAAAATTAAACAGCTAAAATTAATGTTTGGTAAATAGATGGTTGGTTTAGCTTATTGATCGATCCCAAAAAGCCAAAATTTGAAACGCTGGGATAGGCAACGTTTACCATCGGCGTTTCCATTTTTCCCCTTCGTGCCCTCCCTATTTGACGCACAACACCACTTTCAATCTTTCAATTCTCTTCGTTTTGCCTCTGCTACAAAAAATCTTCCTCCATCTGCAATTTCGTCCTCAAATATTCTTCGGGTATTAGAATTAGGGAGGTAAGCATTCGTATGATTGTGTTCGTTTCTAGTTTTTTCTATTTTATTTCCAAAGCTGCTCACTTTGTTTGCTCCCAACTTTTTCTTCCTTTATTTTGTTTCTATAGTGGCGTATAAATTCATGTGTATAATTTGATAGCAGTGATGATAAAAAAAATCGATAGCAGTGTGAGGTGTTTGTTTCTTATTTTTAATAGTACAATTCTACAAGTCTAGTTTATTTGTAAAATTTCCTTGATACAATTAGTAAAAATATTGTTGTGCTTGTCATTCAATAAAACCAGCATTCCTGCTTATGATGGTAAATAATTAGTTTTACAATTGAATGGGAATCAATTACATTTTCTATTAGGTTGTGCACTAAAAATGCCTTGAAGTTGCATAAGTTGTTTTTTATAAGCAATAATTAAAAAAATATTAATGTTCTTTTATGTCTTTTTACACTCTAACAACGTAACTAATTTTAAACAGTTAATTTACCAAACAATTCCTGACAATAAGCTAACATAACCAGCCAACCAAAACAGCTAACACAACCAGTTATTATCAATCAGCTGTCGTACCAGCTAACCGCTGACACACGATTGACAAACAGGGCCAACGTACATCCTTAAATTTATCCGCCAGATGTCCATTTCAGGGGACTCATATCAGAAGCAATTTGTGCTAAATAAGCTGCAGGAAGCTCGCCGGCCAGCTTCGAAGCTATTAGCGCGCGAGTAAGAGCTTTAATTTCTCCATTAAATGTTTCTATCTGTCCATGCATAGTACGTACTACGTAATTACTTCTCATCGATCCAACCCTTATACTTCAATTTTGCCTATATAAATACATCTTCTTCTTCAGGTTTAGGCATCAACTTTTTAAGCTTATTTCAAAAAGAAACTCAAGCTAGCTAAGAACAAATACAATGGCTTCTCCAAAGTTGTGCGTCACTCTCTTTCTCCTCGCAACCGCCGTTTCCGCCGCATGCGCCGCTAGAAGCATGCCGGCCACCGGAAGTGAGAACGCCTTCAACGACCAGAAGAACTTCGTCTCCTACGGCGGAGTTGGTGGCATGAGTGGAATCGGAAGTAACGGCCTCCCCTTCGGCGGCTTTGCCAGCGGCGCGGGTGCCAATGGTGATTTTGGATCCGGCCTTGGCGGCGGCGGCGGTCTTGGCGGAGGATTCGGCGGTGGCTCCGGGATTGGTGGAGGAAGCAGCTTGCCAACAATCGGCGGAGCTGGCGCTGGTATCGGTGGAGGAAGTAGCTTGCCAACCCTCGGCGCCGGCGCCGGTGACCTCCCACTTCCATGAAGGGCACGTTAATAATTACGTACTTGTCTCATTAGTTAACTAGGGCGCGTCTTTTGATTATTACCATTTGTCACTATCTTAAGTCACTATTACGAGTCTTACGTTAGATTATCGGAGTATTAATTAAGTTTGTTGAGATGATGTCATCAATCTCTAGTGTTTTTTTTACGAGTCTAGTGTTTGTTTTATGCTATGTTGCGTTCCCAAGTCATAGGTTCAATGTACTTAGTCGTTGTTTGTCGTATAAATGTTCGTATTTCTTGCTACTATTTAGTATAATCTGCATATTTTTATCTTAAAACAGAATAATATACCGTGCTCCCCTACTAAAATAAAATAGTTAGTCCGTCCAAAAATGATTCACAAAGTCTATTTTTGTAACCACAGAGTTTGATTTTATTTACTCACAAGTATTTAAGATATCAAAATTTGTTATTATATTCTAATTTGAATTTTGCACTATATACAATTTTCAATCTAACTTCTGAATATATATATATATATATATATATATATATTAATTAGCAAAAATGATTTAATTATGATGGAAGATTCAACTTTATTGTCAATCAATTTTAAAAATCACATAAGGGAATTTTCACTATATTTTCTAATTAGGTTGTTTCAAAATGATAATTTTATTTCCTTTTTTGATAAGGTCGGTGAACGAGTGAATAATATACTACGTAATAAAGTAAGGGTATATACGAAGTATATGTGAATCATTTTACCACACTTTTTTAGAATTTAGTTTAAATTCAGATTCAAAAAGGTTCAAGACTACCAGATTTATTACTCCGTACCACACAAATCCTATCTCGCCCATCAGGCCACCACAATTAGTAGAGCACCTTCAATGCTAAAATGTTAACGGTGCGTACGTGGCATGAGAGATAGCCAATCAAAAAACAATAAATAAAACATCTATCTCCTTATTTAACGGATCTTATATCATTTTGGTAAGTTTTTTTCACAATGTCAAGCACAATGTCTAGATGTAGACATCGTGATTGATATTGCAGAGAAAAATGTACCAAAAACACATAAGACCGTGGAAAGGCGGAGAGAGAAATGTCATCAAAACAATCTCTTGTGTCTATCTCTCTCATGCCACATGTGCACTGTGCACATTGTAGCATTGGAGATTCACTCCAGTCTCATACAGGTCCTACATTCACTTTTTGGTTATTCCAAAATAAATAGGGGGATTTATCAAAATAGGAGTAAATAATTCTTTAATTACCAAAATAGGACTTAAAGTTAAAAATTCCCTAAATAGGAGTTATTATATGTACTTAGACAAAAACAACCCTGGATCTGGTAAAACACACTGCCGCTGACAGAACTCGGACCGTCGCCGGATCGCCACGGACCGCCGCTGGACGCTGCCGGACCGCCGCTGCAGATCTGGACGCCGCCATCGTAGATCTGGCCGCTGCCGCCATAGATCTGACCTCTGCGGACTAAGATCTGGCTAGATCTGGTATCCGACCGCCGCCGCTGCAGATTCGACCTCCGCCGCTACAGCTTTGCCATCTACCATGGCAGAACTGGAAGCCACCGTCACTAATATCAACATTTATATCAAATTGCCAACATGATTCAAGAATGTCATCTTAATGGCATTTGCAAAGGAAAATGTGGCATTTTTGAAGAGTAAAATGTCATCATCATGGCATTGTTAAAACAAAATTTGACATTTTTTTAAGAACCAAAGAAAATAGAAGCAAATTTTCCATCGTTGAATGCCAAGCATCTTAAATTTCCAGAATTTGTGATGAAACAAAAGAGGGCAAAAAAGAAACAGAGAATAGCAAGAGAGGAGGAGTTGAGGAAGAAGAAGAAGAAGAAGGAAAAGATAGCTAGAGAGGACGAGCCTCAGGGAGTGTTTGCAATTGCTTCAAATTTAAAAAAGTGATTTTTTAAAGTGATTTTGGGAAAAGTGATTAATAGTATAAGTTGGTAGTGTTTGAGAAAAAAGTGATTCTGGAAAAGTAAAAGTTGGTAGTGTTTGGTAAAATAAGTACTTTTTGTGTATTAGAAAAAGTGAGAAGCAGTTTAAAGCACCCTTCTACCTGCTTACAGCTTTTAAGTGATTAATTTAAGCAGAAGCTGTCATTTGAAAACACTCTTTTCAACTTTTTTTTAAGCCAAAAGCTGAAAAGCGCTTTTTTTAAGCAAACCCAAACACTCCTGTCGAGCCTCAATCTCACTGCCAGATCTGAACCAAAGCTTGCCCCCAACCGCCGCCGCCGCTCGTCGTGGCTCCGGTGCTCGCCGCCGACCGCCACTTCTCGCCGTGGCTCCTTTGCTTCTCATCGGCGCTCGCCGCCGGTTGCTATTGCTTGCAGTCGCCATTTCTCATGGCTCCTTTGCAGCTTAATCGATTCTGTTCTCATTTGCAAACTCCCGTTGCAGACTTCAAAAAGAAAGAGAGAATGGCGCATGGGTGTTAATCGTAGAAGTTAGTTGGAGGGGTAAAAGTGGTATAAAGGTCCTATTTAGGGAATAAAAGTATACACACTCCTATTTTGGAATTTAAGCAATATTTTAGTCCTATTTAGTACAAAAAACCCAAATAAATATCACATTCTTTTTTTGAAAAGAAAAACTAAAGGATATGAGATTTTCAACAATTCGCTTTGCTATATATATACACCTCTCAATCATAATTTTTATTTTAATTGTTCAACTACTTTATTAATTATTGTGTTAAACTAAAGTAGAACACATTGAGATGGATGTAGAATTTGTTTAACCAAGCATTCCAGCCTAGTTGGTTGTGAGGTTACCGTGCCTAGTGAGAGGTCTCGAGTTTGAAACCCGCTAGACACATAAGATTAGAGTTCAAAACTCAATGAAGTGAGTTTCAGTCTTGATTACTTCAGACCCCAGCCCCCCTCCTCCAGACCCCTCTGGAGTAAAAAAATGTAGAATTTGTTTATGAAGACCCCATCACTATTATTGATCAGGGAAAATGTATTAACAATTTTAACGAGTCAAATGGCAAAAACGGATATTATTTGTATCATCAATTATTTGGCAGTCCTCAGCATAAAATTATACTCGTACTAAAAAAAATGGGCGCGCAAAAGTATAGACTTCACAAGTGATATCTTTATATAATATAAAGTAACAATCTTTGCACGTACAGCAAATGGAGGGAAAAATCCCGCCCAAAATAAGGGCATTATGGGGATTTAAGAAGAAAAGTAAATTAGGTAATTAAAGTTATTAAATACAGTAGGAATGAGATAGGCATATAGAATCTGCCAGATTTGGCTAATTTTGACATATGTAATCTTAACATAATAATAAAATAACAAGTGCAATTAAATATATGGTGAGCAAGCAACAATACATATGGAACCTTGAACGTACGGTAAAATGGGTAATTATATTTATTAAATATATGGTGACAAAGCATTAATACATCGTAATAATCTGGAATCTGCCATATTTGACAGATTTAATTTGGCTAATTTCAACCTATGTAATCTTAACATAATAATAAATTAAAATAACAAGTATTAAAGGTGCAATATAAATAACTTGGAAGTATATATGATATAAAAAAGGGAAAATAATTAAAATACCCAAACTTTGAAGGGATGTGATATTAACACCCCAAACTTGCATATGTAACTTAAATACCCCAAACTCTATATAAAAAGATATTTTTAGCACCATAGTCAAGCATTAATTCTTTCAAAAATGTAAATTTATGGCATTAATTGCATAATTTAAAATTATTTTAGAATACATGAAGACACATATAACATTCTAAACTTCCATTAGGAAATAAATAATGTTACCCCCAATCTATATAATTGCAACACTTTTAATTTTGTATTTTAAATTATGCAATTAATCCCAGAAATTTACATTTTTGAAAGAAATAATACATGACAATGGTGCAAAAATAACTTTTTATTTAAAGTTTAGGATATTTAAATTAGGGGAAAACTGTCAAATAGGTCCTCGAACTTTCATAAAAAAGTCAATTAAGTCCTTCTATAGGAGGTTCTGTCCGGCCGTCGCGATTTGGGACAGTTCCCGGTGGAATTTTTTGATGAAATTTTTTGAGCATCTTATTTATCAAGTCTAGTTTACTCATACCAAATTTCAGCTAAAAATTTAATTGGGAGCGCATTCAAATTAATTCGAGAACGCAAAAATGCGCAGTTATCTTCAAGAATTAATTTGAATGTGTTCCCGATTAAATTTATAACTGAAATTTGGTATGAGTAAACTAGACTTGGTGAATAAGATGCTAAAAACAAATCATCAAAAAATTCCACCGGGAACTGCTCCAAATCGCGATGGCTGGACAGAACCTCCTATAGAAGGACTTAATTGACTTTTTTATGAAAGTTCGAGGACCTATTTGACAGTTTCCCCTTAAATTAGATATGCGTTTTATTCCCGGTCAATGAAAACAAATTGTGAATTGCTATGTGTGAATTCAATCTCACCCAATTATAACGTGTAGTTAATATGTTCTTTCCCTTTTTACATTCAAATCTTTATCTTTATATAATATAAAGTAGCAAAATTGCTACAATTTTTGGAGGTAAAATTCCCGCCCATTTAAAGGGCATAATTGGTAATTATATATGAATCTAGGCTTTGGACGTACTACTATAACAAAAACTGCCTTATATCTCTACAACATTATAAGCATGAATCTAGGTGGGGATATTTTGGGTATGAAAAATGTGTTGGTGGTACATTATAGCTATATGCTATTGTACATTAGGTAAAAACTGTTGTACTTCTGGTTGTTACATTCCTATGTCACCGTTTCTTCTCGTCTCCTCCGTTATCTTCCCATCTATTGACCATCCAATGTTCCCCGCCCGCTCAGTTACTTTCCAGTTTGCACTATAGATAAATTATTACTCCGTGTGATGCATCAGATGCAATGGCTACCGCAAGTCCGCAAGCAACCAAAAGACTTTATGCGACTCTTACTAACCTCACCCATCGTGTGCAGCGATCGATCGAAGAAAAGAATCACCAAGCGGCCCCATGCGTCAATTGTAGCTCCGGTAGGGCAGCTTTGGATCTTCAAGAGCACGCCACTCATTGCAAAGAGAAATGAATTACCTCTTGGTCTTCTTACCCTATAAGTAATTTATCATTTCTAATTTTAAAATCTTTTATTTGCATTGGGATTATCAAATTTTTTGCCTATTTGTTTACTTGGCGATCTATCAGATTTGATTTGGGATTTGCTTTCAACTTACGGAAAAAAATCATGTTATATTTAACATAAGATGTTAGTCTCCATGAAAGAATATGAATATGCCCATTTGTTTACTTATTAACATGATCGATATTACACTTTTGGTGAAGAGTGATCGAGAGGGGGTAATGGTGGAGGCCAACCAGGGGGGTGCCAGAGTGTCTCAACATGCCAAGGTGGGTTTGGGATGGACATGGTTGTGCCATAGTG